GGCGAGGTGAATAGTTTCGTAATAATTCAGCATGCCGTAAAAAACACTCGCGCTGCATTCATGTCTGGAGGTGCCAGCTTCAGCCCGAACTGACTGCCTCCACACAACATCCGAAGCTCCCCGAAAAAAGCACCAGCAGCCCAGTACCGGCGGGGGCGTTGCTGCTCCCAGGACAGAGCATGGGGCCGTCGAAGGCGGCCCCACACTCTGTACCAAGAGCAGAACACCCCTATCGGCCTGTAGCTACCTGTGGGTTTCGGGAGCATAGCAAGAAGAACTGCACTGATCTGGCTGGGGAGCTGACCGAGAGATTCCATCAGCTCAAACAGCATGCCGAGCGAAATAAGACCGTCCTCACTCAAGTGCTGGAAATGCCTACAATCAAATCCATCATAAGTGACGGCAGATGCCTTCTTATATTGTTTGCTAACCGCCCTGAGTTCTTCGGGAGTGGCACGGGGGAGAGGGTTCGCAAGAGAGGGGGGAGCAAGGTTGCCGACACCAGCCCCCCAAAACTTGGAAAACGTATCCCCCTCACTGGCCAATAAGCTGAGGGGGTCAGCCACTATAACCCCATCGCGAGACAGAGTAGTGGTGGGAACCCATTGGGTGGGATCCTTGGCGATAGCATGGACATTACGAGCACCCTGGTCGATACCCTCAGTAAGCCACGCTCGCCAATCAGCCTGACAACGCGTTTTGAAAGAGGCCTCCGCCTGGGAGGCAGCACCTGAAATCGATCCAAAGAGATTGTGAGCAGCTTCAAGCTGATCAGCCGTCATCTGTCTGCCTCCTAGAGACGAGACCAAATCATGCACTCTCTCAAAAGTGCCAGAGAACATGGCAGAGTGACGCTTGACCGAGGCAGGCGGGTCACAGAGCAAAGCACCTATCCTCGAAGCTTGTGCTCCTGCACCTTGGTCCGAGCTGTGCAGACTAAGGCAGGCGCGAAACTGAGCAAGCAGCCACATGATGGCGTGATGCTCTGGATACCTGGGTTGCCCGTCCCTTCCCACAACACTCTTCCACATAAGCTGGGGTCCTTTGCTCCTCGTGCCCTTGACCGCCAGCTCCCGATGGTGATGATGGTGATTATGATTATGATGTTGATGATGATGGTGATGAGGTGATGCTGATGATGATGGCTTCCCGGTGATGATGATGATGATGTTGATGACGTTGATGACGATGATGACGATGATGTTGTTGATGATGGTGATGACGTTGACTGTGAGATCGATTGTGATATCGATAGTGAGATCGATAGTGAGACCGAATGTGAGATCGATTGTGAGATCGATAGTGAGAACGACACTGATATCGATTGTGAGATCGATAGTCAGATCGATTGCGAGATCGATCGAATGAAATAGATCGAGTGAGATCGATTGTGAGATCGATCGAGTGAGATCGATCGAGCGAGACCGATAGTGAGATCGATAGTGGGACCGATAGTGAGACTGATCGAGTGAAGCGTTGGTACCTCCCCCCCCCCGAACCTCCTCATCACCCGAAGGGTGGTCGTATAGGTATTCATGAATATACATGTATATACATCTCCATATCCACCGCCTGGGAACTGACGTCCTGGTGCCCCAGCGGGCGGTGGATATGGATGTATTCTGGCCCCTGGGGGCCCGAAGATGTCCACATCCACCGCCTGCCGAGATCCCTGAAGATTGCTTCCCCAGGCGGTGGTCATGTGTAAATCCCCGCCTCGGACGTGAGACCAAAAACGTAGAAAAACATGTGTTTGTTTTCCCACCGGAACGTGTGTGTTTTGTATGTTTTGTGTTGTTTTGTGTTTTGTGTGCTTTTGTGTGTTTTGTTGTGTGTTGTTGTATGTTTTTGTTTGTGTGTTGTTGTGTGTTTGTATTTTTTGTGTGTTTTGTGTTGTTGCTTCGCGGACCCTCCCCCAGGACCTCGCAGAACACGGCGGCAAGCTTGCAAGCTTTGCAGCAGCCCGGCAGGGCGAGGTCCCGCTCGTTACCAGCCTCGAACGTATCCCTATCCCTTTAAGATTGACGCGCCAAGAGGCGATGACAATCTTAGGGGTTCGCCCTCAAAACAGAAGGGAATCCCTAAGATTGGCGTCGTAATGAGGAGGTGCCCAGCATAGGGACAGGGATAGAGCTCGGACCCGAATATGAAGCGTCAATCCTGGCCGGAGCGCGCACGAAGGTGGCAACCATGGCACGCTTGGCAGCACCCAGGCAAGCCGCGAAATCCCGTCTGGGTCCCCGTGAGACGGCGCTCCGCTGGGCCACCTACGAGCCCACGGAAGTGGCGACAGTTGCGCAGTGGCAGCATCCGGGGAGCGCGAGGTCCAGTCGAGGTCCCCGTACGATCACGTTCCGCTGGACCTCCCAGGAGCTCACAGAAGTGGCCACGCGTGCTCATTCGCAGCACCCGGGGAGCGCGAGATCTCGATCGGGTCCCCGTACGACCGCACTCCGCCGGACAGCCCAGGAGCTCCCCACAAAGTGTCGACAGGTGGAGCACCTGCCGGCACGCAGGGCGAGCGAGGCATGGGACACGAGAAAGAAAGCGAAGATGGGGAAGCGGGGAAGCGAGGAGGATGCGAGAAAGCGGGCAGTGGGGAGACAGAGGAGAGAGAGAGGCAGGAGGATGGATCGGAGGGACGAAGCTGGAAGAGAGGGGGAGGAGAGGAGCAGCAGCTCTCGAATCAAATCGAGACCAAACCCAGGGGAGGCCCGGGAAGCACAGAGCAGGAAAGCAGCTAGACAATATTGAGATCCAGCCCGTCAAAGTAATGAGCGATTGTGAGAGGAAGCCGCCGATGATTGAATCGAGAAGGCGCGGAAACTAGATTGAAATACGTGAATTCAACACGAACACCTGGGCGACGATCAAAAACGGGTCTTATGCGGGATGACGTAGCGACTTTGCGCGGTAGCTTACGCGGGCACGCCACTATTGAAGATGCGGGCACTTACGCGCGACCTTACGCGGGCAGCTCGCGCGCCAATGTCGGCACAGACGGTCCGTGCAGGCTCTTGTCGCTGCCCGTAACGCTGCGGGGGGACGCCCACGAAGCAGACACTCCCACCCAGGCTGGTGCCGTCGTGGGGCGTGTGTGCGTGTGCGTATGGGCGGTTCCAGGTCGGTCTTGTCCCTTGGCCTTCTTGTCGCTCCACGCTGCTGCTCGCTCCCCTCGCCACCCAGTCCTGTGGATGGCTCCTGGCACCTTCCACATCACCGAAGCATGGTCCTTCCACCACTCCCCCCGTCATCCACGCCCGGATGGCTCACAGCGGCCGGCCGCTGCGGGACTCCAAGCGGCCTCAAAGGGCTTGGGCGCTCCTGGTCGCGCGTTCGCTGCTCTGCGACCTTCTCCGCCGCGTCGCCGCGCGCCGGTGCCGAAAACAGGAGGCGCAAGAACGTTGACGCCCTACCTGAATCCCTAGGGATCAGGATTCCTAAGGATTCCCAAGGCTTCCTAAGGATTCCTATGGATTCCTAAGGATGCCTAAGGATGCCTTAGGAATCCTTAGGATTCCATTGGATCCCAAGGCCGCTGCCACTGCGACTGTCATTGCGAATGCGACTGCGACTTCCGCCGCCGCTCGCCGCCCTTCCCGAAGACTTCCGCCGGCGGAGCCGCCGCCGCTCTGCCGCCGCCAGGCTTTCCCGCCGGCGTGCACCTCGGGCGCGGCCCGGCCGACCCCTGGCAAGCCATGCCATTTCTGGGCAGTCGAAGCCAATCTGGCGCCAATCTGGCAGGCCCAACCTGGCAAACGGGGGCAATCTGGCGAGGGAGCCAGCGCGGATCCAGTCTGGCGAATAACCCAAATCATCCAGTTTGGCCGGGCCAGATTGGCCCTTGGGGCCCAATCCAATCTGACAGTCTGGCCTTCGACTACCCAGGATTGTGTGCCGTCATTCCTCGCCGTTCGAGTGCCCCTCCGCCCGCAGCCATACGCCCTGCAGCCCGAGGCGAGGGGCACTCTCACAGAAAAGGGATGGCTCGCGAGTGGTCGGGTGTAAGTCGCCCCTGACCACCGAGGACAAGGACGCACAGACAGCAAACGCGCTTGCCACGCAAACCGCCAGCTCCAAACACCGACGCCACCCCGATCCCCGCATCCGTGCCAGGCACCCTCTCGACGACGCCCCCTTCCGGCGTAAAACCGATAAAACCCTTTGTGTTTATGTGTTTACTCCTGTTCTGAGCGAACCCCTCTGGAGCGCGCCCGATGGGAAACGGTTGGGGCTGCGCACGGACGCCCCCCCCCTAGGCAGTCCTGGCCTGCCCCGGCAGGCCCCCCGAGCAGTCCTCCACGGGCCCTCCGAGCAGCCCGGGGCGGCCTCCGCCTCTCGGCCAGGGGGCGCGGAGCACCCCCCGGGGGGGCGCCGACGGAGGCGGCGCCAGGATGTACCAGCCTCGAACTCATCCCTATCCCTAAGATTGACGCGCCAAAGGGCGATGACACTCTTAGGGGTGCGCCCTCCAAAAATAAGGGGATCCCTAAGATTGGCATCGTGAGGAGGAGATGCCCAGCATAGGGATAGGGATACGTTCCAGGCTGGAAACTGGCTGCGCACGGACGCCACCCCTCCAGGCAGTCCTGGCCTGCCCCGGCAGGCCCCCGAGCAGAGTCCTCCACGGGCCCTCCGAGCAGCCCGGGGCGGCCTCAGCCTCTCGGCCAGGGGGCGCGGAGCACCCCCGGGGGGGCGCCGCCGGAGTCCTCCTCCTCCTCCTCCTCCTCCTCCTCCTCCTCCTCCTCCTCCACCTCCTCCACCTCCTCCTCCTCCTCCTCTTCCTCCTCCTCCTCCTCCTCCTGGATGCTGAGACCGTCCCAGGCTGGGCTACTCGGGAGGGCCTGTTGCTGGGGCTACTCTGGGGGGGGGGGGGGGCCGCCCGTGCGCGCAAGCCGAAGCTTTGCCAGCACCCGATCCAGCTCTCGCCGCTCCGCGTTCGGGCCCGGGGCGGCTCGCCCAGCGCCCAGCTGGCACGCAGTTCTCGGGACCCGCGGAGCCTCGGAGCTCGGCGCCTCGGTCGCCTGGCGCACCGTCAGCTGCCCCAGGGCCGAACTCACGGAGCCCAGGTCGTCCATGACCTCCGCCCTCACCTGGGAGAGCAAGCAAAACACCCGGCTCTCTGCCCCTGGGACAGGCTTCCTGTGGAGAGACAGGAGCACCACCGCCCCTCTGCGTCTGGGAGAAGGGCAGCCCATCGAAGGAGTACCCAGGCCAACCCTCCGGCCAACCCCGAGCACCCCCCTGGCCAATCCCAGCCAAGCCTCCCTGGCCCACTACTCTGGCCAAGCTTGGTCAGGAGCACATACACTGTCGGAGCACCGCGCGGAGATCGGACGGCACTGGGCACTCCAGGGCGCCTGGCGCCGCCAGCCTGATGCCACCCCTAGCGCGCGCAGCGCGCCAGGGGAAGGGGTCCAGCCGACCAAAGAGATCCGCGCGGGCCTGCGAAAGTGTATGTGTCTGGCTCCTCTCTGCTCGATTACCGCAACGAGGCCGGGGCTGGCGAAGAGCATGTTCTGGAAGCGGTCGTCGTAGGACCAGCCGGTGATCCTCTTGAAGACTGCGGAGCTGGCGCTGCAGTTGACGGTGCCGCCGTAGCACCTGTGAGAACAAAAAGGTACCGACATCGCGACTTCCTCGGGGCCTCTACCAGGGTGCGTCCAGACCAATATTCCGAGGCGAATCCAGCCATGACTATGGGGGCACCCCAGGCAAGCGCAAACGAGACAAGGACATCGGTATCGAAGAGCCATGCCTCCTCCTCCTCCTCCTCGTCCTCCTCCTCCTCCTCCTTCTCCTCCTCCTCCCTCTCCTCCTCCTCCTCCTCCTCCTCCTCTTCCTCCTCCTCCTCCTCCTCCTCCTCCGCCTCCTCCTCCTCCTCCTCCTCCATCTTTGTGGCGTTAGACAAACTAGAGACGGCAGCCCTTCTTCTCCTTCTCCTCCTCCTCCTCCTCATCATCATCAACCTCCTCCTCCTCCTCCTCCTCCCCTTTTGTGCCGTTATAACAACTAGAGGCGGCAGCTCTTCTGCTCCTCCTCCTCCACCTCCACCTCCTCCTCCTCCTCCAACTCCTCCTCCTCCTCCTCCTCCCCCTCCCCCTCCCCCTCCCCCTCCTCCTTTGTGGCGTGAAACCAACTAGAGGCGGCAGCTCTTCTTCGCCTTCAACGCATCAAGAAAGGATCGGTCCAGCAGGCCACACTTCCCCACGGCGCCTCAGGAAGCTCACGTTCGTGAACCAGTGCGCGAAGAAGCCCAAACATGCTTCCCACGACTCTGATATCGAGAAGCTGCACGCAGGCGATCCGCCAAGCCAGCTACATATTATACCACATGTTGAGGACACGAAGGAAACTCGCCACCAGCAAAACCCAAACAACCAAAAGCGACACTCCTCCACAGGAATTCGAGGACCTTGCGCACGACCGCGCCGAATTCTCCTCATCCTCCTCTTCCTTCTCCTTCTCCTCCTTTTTGACGTGAGACCAGCTAGAGGCGACAGCTCTCCTCCTCCTCCATTTTGACGTCAGCCCAACTAGAGGCGGCAGCTCTTCTCCTCCTCCTCCTCCTCATCATCCTCCTCCTCCTCCTGCTCCTCCTCCTCCTCCTCCACCAGGCCCCGAGGTCCGCCCCAGGTCGGTCCCCGCAGGCGCCTCCCGGGGCGGTGCTCGAAACAGCGTCCTCCGGACACCGGAGACCACTCAGACACAGCCTCGAGGCTCTTTGCTTCCCCAGAGATCTGGCGCATCGAAAAGGTTCTAGAGGCGGAGGTTTTTCGTTTCGCGGTGCTCGGCCTCAGATCATAGGGGCCCCTTCCGCGCCTCGCGGCACCGTCAACAGAACGCCGCGGGATGAGACACCGGTCCTGGCGAGCGGGTCGAGACTTCCGGGGCCCCGCATGGAACAAATCACGACCGCGGATCTCTGGGTTACAATCAAAAATACTCATAAGGACTCGCGGCAAAGACGCAAGACCCTTGGAAGCCGAAGTTGGGATTTCTGGGGCGGCGGACGACGAAAACCCCAAGGACGCAGAGGTACCCTGAGCAAGGACACAAGGGTACCCTGAGCAAAGTCGCGCGTCCTCATTAGGGTTTTTGACTGTATGTTGCTCCCAACGTACTTCAAGACCACATGCCAGAAATAATTCCGAGCACCCGGAAAAAAAGTGTTCAAGCAGTGTCGGGCGAGCGTCTCCCCAGACCCGACGCGTGAAGACCCTCGAGTTTCGGTACTCTTCTGGTGCTCCCAGTTCTTTCTGGCGGTCGAGGCTAAGACAGGTTGGAGCGTCATAGCTCGGGGCCGTTCCCCGAAGGTGGGGCACCACGAGAACTTGTTTTTTTTCCGCGCAGTATTTTGGGAGGAGAAGGAGCAAAGCTGAGGGGACGAAGAGCGGACAAGACCTGCAAACTCGCGTGCACTCCAAACGGGAACCGGAGAAACTACGGGAGCGCCGGAAGCAAAACTTGGGAGGAGCGCGACAGGACACGTGTCCGTCCCAACTGTGTGGACATCCCCCGTGGTGGGGCACCACGAGAACTTGTGCATCAGCGGGAGGTCGTCGTCCACCCAGTACAGCGAGGAGAGGAGGAAGGGGGTCAGGGCAGCGTCGCCCGCCGTGGGGCTCACCACGACCGCGCCGCCCTCCGGCGGGGCCTCACGCGGCTGCCCACCCCCGCCCCGAGCGGCCGAGGGCTCTGCCCACGAAGAACGAGGGATCGAAGATCTCCTCCTCCTCCTCCTCCTCCTCCTCCTCCTCCTCCTCCTCCTCCTCCTCCTCCCCCTCCTCCTCCTCCTCCTCCTCCTCCTCCTCCTCCTCCTCCTCCTCCTCCTCCTCCTCCTCCTCCCCCGCTTTGCCCACGAAAAACGCGGGATCGAGGATCGACTCGCACAGGAGCTCGACTCGCACACGGGCTTCCACGGCATCTGCCAAGTTCATCTGGGCATCTCTGGATACGATGCACCTCGCCTGACGTGTTACCTGCATGGGCCTGCGACGATCCACCGGTCGGTACCCAGACCCCCGACGGCATGATTCTTTCAGAACGTCGACCCCCAGTGTTCTCGACCCGTTCCCCGGGACCAAATTCTCATCTCGAGTCGTTTGTCGACGGCCCCGAGACCCGGTGAGGGCCCCCAGAGGCCGGAAATGACAGAAAACCTCCCGCCCTGATCTATTCATGGCCCAGGGGGGTCTGGTTATGTGGCTCAGGCCCGTCCCCCTACAGAGAGATTTTTGACGAAAACTGAAACATACCCCCCAAATAACAAAAAAAAAAAATAGTCAGGGGACTATTTTCTGCATATTTTGTTGACCTTCTTGGGGCATCAAAGTATCTCTTGTTTTTCGTAGAAAATCCCCCTGTAGGGGGACAGGCCCGACTTAAATATAGTCGGGCGGCGCTCAGACAGCCCTCCCAGGCAGCCCCAGCGCGCCTCAGCAGGCTCCCCGGCGGAGCGCCCCGTGGGGCGCTCCGCCAAAGAGGCGGCGCCCGCGTGCCGAGGCCGAGAGCGCCCTGCACTGCTCGGGGGTCAACGTTGAGGCCAGGCGGGACTACCTTTAAGTCGGCCCTGTCCCCCTACAGGGGGGATTTTCGACGAAAATTATCGTAAAAAAACTAAACAAAAACAACAACAAAATCCAAGCATAGTCTGGGGACTATTTTTTGAGTAGTTGTTGACCTTCTTGGGGCATTTTTGAAGGTATTTTCATTTGTCGTAGAAAATCCCCCTGTAGGGGGACACGCCCGACATAAGACTACCTGGGGTGAGGAGTTGCACGTCGGTCGGAAGACGTAGGTAAAGACATGGGGTATGATGGCGGCTAAAGTGGATTGTGTTCAGCCCCCCCCCGAGAATAGCAAAGCACGGCGAAAGCGGATCGGCTCGTGACGCAAGACGGCGCTTGAAGTAGACTGGGATCTGGGAATTCCAAAAGCTTTCTATCTGCACGCAGCCCGAACCCAGACCCCCGACGTCATGAATTTGTCATGACGTGGACCCCCAGCGGTCTGGACCCGTTCCCCGGGGCCCGCTTTCTGCCCCGGGTCGTCCTTCAAAAGCCCCGAGGGCCGGTAGAAAGGGCCCCCAGAGGCCGAAGACCATGAAAAACCTCCCGCCGTGATTTTTCATATCTTAGGGGGGACTGGGAACCCAGACCCCCGACGTAATGATTTTCTTCATTACGTCGACCCCCAGAGGTCCCGACCCTTTCCCCATGGCCGGCGTTGCATCCTGAGACGTTTTTTGACGCTCCCGAGGCCCGGTGAAGGCCCCTGGAGGCCGGAAATTGGGAAAAAGCTCCTGCCATGATTTTTTCATTACTCGAGGGGGTCTGGGAAGCCTCAGCAAAGACCATCGGCATAGAGAGCCGTCAGACCCCGAAAGGCCCGGGGCCTCCGGCTGCCTCCGAGGAGGACGGGGACGGCCGGCCGTCGCGACGGCGCCGGCCAGCTCGAGGGGGGGATCTGACCCAAGGACCCTTGAAGACCAGGTCAAGCCTGGGCACTCTTCCTCCTCCTCCTCCTCCTCCTCCTCCTCCTCCTCCTCCTCCTCCTCCTCCTCCCCAGACCCCCTCGAGGCGGCTCCACAGCGAGGCCCCGCGCAGCCGTCTTGCCCCCGCGGCGGGCGGGACGCGCGGATGGGCCCGCGCACGGGGGCCCCCAGGCGCCGAGGGCGCCGCGAGCGGCTCCGCGTGCGGCCTGCGCCCAGCGCTGCGCCGCCCGAGCCGCCAGAGGAGGACGCGCGCACGGCACCGAGTTCGACTGCAGCGGCTCGGTCGGCGCGCACCGCACGGCGGAGGGAGCGCCTGCGGCAGACGGCGGCGCGGCGGGCGCAGCAGCAGGCCGCAGAGGTCGTGCGCCTGCTGGACCCAGCCGCGCCTCCGCCGGCGGGGCCCCTTGGCCTGGCCGCCGCCTTCGGAGAGGGACTAGCGGCAGGCTGGAAGCTGGCAGTGGGAGCGAAGGAAGAGCAGTGGCAGCTGGACTACTGCGGAGTCGCGCTGACGGACGTACCGTGGTGGGGCGAGCAGTGGATGCAGGCATACCTGGAGGAGCGCGAGGAGTGGGAGGCGCAAGACGAGCCCGACGCCATCTACCACAGCGCTGCGATCAGGGCATGCGGGACGCAGGCGGAGGCGAAGCTGGAGCCCATTACACCTAGCGCTAGCTACGCCTCGCCGCACCTCGTCGCCCAGGCTGGATCCTGCGAGAAGGACGGGCAGGGGCAGCCACAAGAGGACGAGCAGCGGCAGCAGCAGGCGAAGGACGAGCCCGACGTCGTCAGCTACAACGCGGGGGCGACGGGCGGCCGCCACGAGCGGAAGCGAGAGGAAGGCGAAGGACGAGCCCAACGCCATCCGCTACGGTGCTCAGAACAGCGCGACAAGTGGGAGGCGAGGGTCGAGCCCGACGCCGTCTGCTACAGCGCTGGGATCAGGGCATGCGGGAAGAAGGCGGAGGCGAAGCTGGAGCCCAGTATCCCTTGCACTTCCTCCCCATCGTCGAACCGCGTTGCCACGGCTGGATCCGAGTTCACCCGTGAATGTGTTGGCGTCAGCTCAGCGATGTGGACCGCCAGAAAGACCATCGCCGAAAAGTGGCTTGGTCCAGGATGCGAGAGGCGGAAGGCGAAGATAGAGCCCGATGTCGCCAACTACCGTGCGGATATCATGGCGGAGATAGCGAGCATAAGCGGCGTGTCAGAGCGCGAGGAGTGCGAGGTGAAGCTGGAGCCTGACATCCCTACCCTCAAGAGGCACAGAGCTGGGAGCAGCGCGTGCGAGGAGAGAGAGCAAGGCGCAGCATGCGAAAAGAAAGAGGCGAAGTTGGAGCCAACTATCTACCCTAGCAACTCCAGGTACGGACCGAGCGGGAAGCCTGAGTCTGAGGCGAGACACGAGCGGTGGTTGGAGAGAAAATTCGGGCGCAGAGAGAGAGAGAGCTCAAGCGCACACGGTACCGACGCTTGACGATTGGCTGTTCGGACCGAGTGGATGAGAGAGTGAGAGAATTGGCAGAAGAGGTGGTCCCCCCCCGCCCCGCAGCAGAAGGGCACGGCTTCGGAGCCGCCTGAGAGGAGGGGCCGAGGTGGGCCGAGCGGCGCTGGGGGCAGCGCTGACCCGCGCGCGCGCCGACCGCGCGCCCGCGCGGGCGTGCCACGACGTGGCGGCTCGAAAGAGCTCGGAAAGAGCTCCCCAGACCCCCTCGAGCAATGAAAAAATCACGGCGGGAGGTTTTTCCACACTTTCGGCCTCGGGGGGCCCTCACCGGGCCTCGGGAGCGTCAAAAAACGACTCAGGATGCAAAGCCCGTCCTGGGGAAAGGGTCGGGACCCCTGGGGTCGACGTAATGAAAAAATCATTACGTCGGGGGTCTGGGTCCACCGCCTCCTCCTCCTCCTCCTCCTCCTCCTCCTCCTCCTCCTCCTCCTCTGCCACCTGCTGCATCTAAGCAAGCCTGCGAGAACTTGCCACAGCTTTCGGGAGGGAGCCCCCGCGCCAGCCTGGACAGAGCCTCCGCCCCTGCTTCGGAGGGAGGGCGCTTCAGCTCGAAAGGGGGACCGCGGAGGCGCGGCAGACTGGGAAACCAAAAGGTACCGACACCGCGGCGTCCCGGACCTCTCCCGAGGTGCGTTCTGACGAAGATTCTGTCGAGGCGGATCCAGCGGTGGCGACGAGGGCCCCCCAGGAGGGGGAAACGGCCAACGGGCAGCGGTATGGGCACCCTTTTTCCTCCTCTGAGTTCCCCGACCCCCGACGTCATGATTCTGCCATCGCGTCGACCCCCAAAAAATTCTCGACCCAGCTCCCGGGCCCCGAGTCTCATCCTGAGTCGCTGTTTGACGGTCCTGAAGCATGGCAAGGATCTCCACAGCCGTTTTCACACGTATCATTTCATTTGTACTGTGCCCTGTTCAAGTCATCTCTCCTGCCGTCCCCAGCGTGGTTCTGCCATCCACCTCTCCGCATCCTCCTGTGCAGCATTCCTCCCTATCCTCATCCTCTCCTCCCGGACCGACCCGCCCGCCTTCTTCCCCTCCCCCACGATCGCGCAATCACGCAAGCCCGAAAATAATGAAACACCCTTCGGCCAGGATTCTTTCACAACGCGAGGGGGTCTGGGCTAGCGCCGCAGCCTCGGCAGGGGGCCACAGAGGCGCGGCAGAGAGGAGTGCCCAGTCGTCACCGCTTCCGCGCCGCCACGGGGGCGTCCAGCGGGGCGGCGCTGCGGCCATCCGCTGGGAGGGGGGCGGGGACTGGCCGCCGCCGCCGCCAGAGGCGTACAGCGGAGGCCAGTCCACAAGAAACCTTCCACAAGAAGCCCAATCCTGGAACTCCAGGACGTCCATTGGATTTTGGTGTGCGAACGTCGCGCTGTCCACAGCAGAACAATCGAAACCCAAGAAACTAAGGGCAATGGAGGCAAGCAGGGTGCGTCTTGGCATGGGCCTTCACTGTAAGGTCTTCGGACGGTCTCGTATGGTGCTCGGCGGTGTTCCAGCCTCGGGATGCTCTGAATCAGCGGCGAGCGAGGGGGGAAGTGACCTCGAGGCGAACCCGGCGACGGCGACGAGGGCCTCCCCTGGAGGCCCAGAGAGGGGAAAGCGAGAGAAAAGGACGGCGGTGTGGGCACACGTCGTTCATTTCTAATCGTGCTCACTTCTACTTGTGCTCGTGTCTAACTGTTCCTGGCCCCTATAGTGGCCAGGAAGAGGCCCAGGATAGAACAATTAGAAATGAAAGGATCTTGGCCCCCAAAAATCAAAGAACTTTCGAAGAATTGGAAGTGAACAATGTGTACATCTCCCTCCCCTGAGCCGACTACACGCCAAGAGGGACCCTTGGCAAGAGCGGCCCTGCGTGCGCGGCTTTCGGGGGGCCGCGGGGGGACCACACGCCAGCGCGCAGGACGCCACGACCGCATGGCGTTCGGCGACCCGGGAGGCCCCACTGGGCCCGCACCCAAAGGCCACTCCGGCGAAGGGCCACTCTTGCGCGTAGTCGACGGAGCCCCTCCTCCGTCGGGCATGGACTGACCCCCTGTAGCAAAACGTGGTTTAGTGAAAACGACCTGAGGCCCAAACCTGGCGGGCGCAAGCCTGGAAAATAACGGCCAGGGCGCCCTCTCGAGAACCGAAAACGGACAATTCACTAATCGACGTGTACTGTTGGGGGTTCTGTCCACCCCCGACTCCGCTCGCAGAAGTGGCGTCCAGGACAATGGCACGAGGCGCGCTCGTGGGCGAAGGCCGCCGAACTGCCCCCCGAGGGCCGCCGAGGTCCGCGGGCCCTCCGAGGGGATCGGGGCCGCGCTAAGCGGGCGGGGCATCCACCTCGAAGGCCGCGGAGTCGAAGGCGAAGGCGCCCTCGGGCAGGTCCTTCGGGGCAGCGGCAAGCAGCGGGAGGCGAGGGAGCTCCGTGATCGATTACCAATGACAGTACCCCGCAGGAGGGGGGGAGCTTCCGGGATCGGGGAGCTCCTTGGCAGATGCCACAGGCGAAGCCGCCCGCACGCCCAAGGAGAGAACCAAAGAACTAGGACCTGAATGAGGCCACGGATTCACTGTGCTGTCAGGGTCCGGGACTGTGCTATGCTCAATGCCTTCGGAGGCCGAGCAGGTCGAGGCAGCCAAGCCGGACGGTGCCCAGCACGCCGGCGCAGCTTCTTGCCAGCACCGGGCGCGCGCTCCACCCCCTGGCCGGACTCCTCTCCGCCAAGCCGGCTGCTGCCGGTGTGCATGCAGAGGCTTGCGGAAGCAGGCGGCCGGCGTGCTCCCAAAGACTTTCGCCTGTTCCTCTCATCCCAAAAGGTCGGGCGGCGCCCAGGACACGCAATCGTCGTGACGGCCAGCCTCTAGCAGCTTCTCGGCGCGCCCGGACGCGGCTGCCCTGCCCGGAGGTCCGTCCCAGCAGCAAAAACCTGCCCGGGGTGACGAACCGGCTCCAGGAGAGGGGCCGCGGGCCTGGGAGTCCACGCCACCAGACGACCGCGCGAGGCGGGAGTCGGAGGAGGGGACCACACATGCCTCCACATGCTCCCCCAGTGGCTTGACCCGACTGCTTTAGAAGAGGGAGGGTACGCTCGGGATGGCTTGCAGCATGGCGGCACCCTACTTCTGCATTGCAATCGGGTGGCGTGTCGCTTCGCGGGGCGGAATGCCCGGGAAGGCTCGGGTCGCTGACGCTCCGGGGCTGGAAGGTGGCTAGCGTGTCGCGCCGAAGCGTGGTGGGCCAAGACCGGCGGCGCGACACGTTAGGCAAGCGGTGCTGACCGTACTAGGATGAGTTTGGCGGCTGCTGGAAGAAAGGCGCTTTAGGTGGTGGAACTAACCCACTTCGTTGTGGTGTGCAACCCACTTCGTTGTGGTGCGCAACCCACTTCGTAGTGGTTTATAAGTACTTAGCCCCCTGCGACCAACATGCGATCTTCCGGCCAAACTTGACAACTTCTATAACTGGTTGCTGAACTTGCAAATTGATAGCTTTCTTTTCTAGGCGCCCAAGTTAAGTACTTGCATGTACTTACAATTACTTAACGTCTGATCAAATTGCACTTAGCAAGTACTTGCTACATGTTTACAATTACCGACAACAAGCACGTCAAGACCCATTATGTGGAGTGATTTTTTCCAACATATGTTGCAGGAGAAATGTTATGTCGATTGAACGGGTTTTCTTTTGGGTTAGATCGAATAAATAAGCCGCGCGCCTGCAACCGAAAATGCGATAACGCGTTTAACATACAACCAAATATTGTGTAACATCAAAGCCACAGGTTGCAACCTAAAACCTCAAACACAAGTTGCAAAACACGCGCGGAAGCCCAAACCCCGCACGCGCGATGATGGTGATGATGAGGACGATGACGATGATGATGGCGGTGACGAGATTGCATATGCATATGTATGTGTATGCATGTATGCGCATGCGATTGCAGGCGCACGTGCGCGCGAGGAGGGAGGAGGGAGGAGGGCGGAGGAGGGGGGGGGATGATTTCGGTGACGGGCAAGAGGAGGAGGAGGACGGAGGAGGAGGGAGGATGTTTTCGGTGACGCGTGTCTCCTCGGCCTCCCTTAAGGCCGCACAGAAATTTCAAATTCAGTCTTTGGAATTACATGTCGTCTTTTCAATGCTTGACAATACAGAACTCCGCACGCGCGAGTGCTCGCGCGTGACCATGGTCACCCGCGCGCGGTTGACACGTGCCACCTCTGCCTTCGGGCCTTACAAAAAATTCAAATTCAGCGTTTGGAATTACATGTCGACTTTTGTATTGTGGACACTACAGGTCTCCCCAGCGCGCGCCGCCGCGCGCGCGGGTGACCCGCCCATCGCGTGGGTCACCCCGGCCTCCCTTCAGGCCTCACAAAAATTTCAAATTCAGTTTTTTGGAATTACATGTCGACATTTCTCTTGTGCACAATATAGAACTCCACAGCGCTCGCCGCCGCGCGCGCGGCGGCGCGCGCGCGGGTGACCCGCCCATCGCGTGGGTCACCTCGGCCTCCCTTCAGGCATCACAGAAATTCCAAATTCAGTTTTTGAAATTACATGTCGGCTTTTCTAGCATGGGCAGCATAGAACTTCGCAGCGCGCGCCGCAGCGCGCGCGCGCGGGGTGATCGCCTGATCGTTGTACACGCGCGCGCGTGCGCGTGCGTATTTGAGCGCGTGCGCGCGCGCGTGTGCGTGCTCGCGCGTGCGGCGGGGCGGGTGCATAATTCTTGTGCGATTGCGCGCGCGCGTGCGCGCGCGTGCCCGCGCTAGTTCCTCATCGCGCCAGGGGGCGCGGCGACGGATTTTATTGTGCCAGGTACAAGTTGGCTGATTGTTGGGAATGTCTTGGGCATCTTGGGGCTATCACCCGAACCCTAGCACCGCGCCCCGAACGCCCTAACCCTAGACCGAAGACCCTTGCCCTACACCATAACCCGAACACCAAAACCATGAACCGATCCTAGCCCGAACACCCCATCCCCAACCGCCGCCTTCAAGACGGCTGCAAGAAACGCCCCCACCAAGGCGCCCCCCTGCGCTATAAGGCCCAGCGCGGGGGCTCTGACCATGGCCTATAGGCCTATATGGGGCTTCCAGGAGTTAACCTTCGGGGCCTCATGATAATTTGATGTCGGGGCCTGCTGCGGGCATGCGCGCAGCGTCCAATGTCCATATATATATATATATATATGTGTGTGTGTGTGTGTGTAAAAAAAAAGGTCCCAGAGTGCTGCGTCTCAGTGAAAGCCAGGGCCGCATGGCCACAGGGCCTTGAGTTCCTTGGGGGCTCCAGGGCCTCAGGGTCGATGACCTCGGGGTCCCAGGGTCTGAAAGGTCGCGCGGCCGCATTAGGGTCCAGGGCATTCGACGACGACGGCGCCGACGACGCGTACTTGGTGACTGTGCGCAGTGGATGCCGCGGCGCCCTGAGGTGGGCGTCTTGAAGCCCGCGCGGCATTTAACATTCGCGCCCTCGCTGATCCCTCGTTTCCACCCGCCGATGCCTTCTCACCCCGTGCTTCTGACGCCGTTTGGGGCCGTGCCGCGATGCACCTCTCGCGCACCTCAGCGCCTGGCGCTACCAGATTTTGGCGGCCAGCTACCACCGCACCTCAGCGCTTGGCGCTATCAGATGTGGGCGCCATGGCGCCCAAGAAACAACAGAAAAGGAGCTGCGACGAGGTGGTCCAGGGAAATGCAGAGCTGAAGGAAACCATGAAAAAGATGAAGGCGGAAATGAAAGACAAGGATTCCGCCCTCGACTGGCGAACGTATGGCCCCGACAACCTGAAGCTCGGCTTGGAGCGGCGCAGGATGGGGACCGCGGGTGCAAAGCGCCTGCGGCACGTGCAGGTGCAGCCCGCGGCAAGCATTCGCAATCATGACCAGCGAGTCGATACGATGCAACAGATCGCCGCGGCCGAGAGCGCATCCGCTCTCGCCAGGCACGCGATGCACGCGGCAGAGCGCGCCGCGGGAACACAAGCGGCCCGCGCTACGGTCGCTGCGTGCACAGCTTCGGCAGCGGCAGCCGCGACGGCCGAGGTAGCCCCGCAGCCAATCCCAGCGGACTACGTTCCGCCCTTCCAGAGGTAGGCGGCGGAGTCTCATAGTCTCAGTATCAGTCTCAATGCGCCGCGAGAGTTTGCAGTTCGGTTGCAGTCGCGGTTGCAGTGCGCCGCGGCAGTTTGCAGTTACATATTGCTGTCGCCGCTTCCCCATATCTTGTGCTTCTGGCTGAGTTGACCGCAGCGCCTGGGCGATCTCGCCCAATGATCGATGCGTCTTGCATCCCGCGTTGCCATGAGAAAGTCACCCCCTCGTTTTAGCATCCCTCGCCCCGTCGCAATTTCAAACGACGACGACGACGAAACGCCCCGAAGGCCGCTGGTCTTCATGTTTTGGAGGCCCCAGCAGGGATTCGTCTGCGAAGGATTGCCTCAGGGCCCTCATGGGCTCAATGGGGTACCGGGGCCGTCGTCGGCCCATGGTGGCCGCGCGCCCTCGCGGCACCCTGGGGCCACCGTTGGTGCGTGGCGTCTGGGGGCCTCCTTCGATTTCGGGGAGGGGGGGGAAGGGGACCTTAGGCCAAACGGTGTCGGGGCCTGGCGGTGCCGACGCAGCTGCGACCGCACTGCGTCTGAAACCACATTCCCCAGACCCTGCTTGCGCGCATAGGGGCTTCTGGTTTGTGGGTGGCAGTATGGCGGCTCCGTGCTCGCCGTCGCCGCTCCGCGGCCGCCCCGCCGCCGCCCGTCGTATGGGCTTGGCTGGCGGCGTGGCGGATGCTTGCTCGCCGTCGCCGCCCCGTCGCCGCCGCGTCGCCGCCCGTGGTCCGGGCCTGCGTGGCGATCTGGCGGGTCCGTGCCCGCCGCCTTCGCCTCGCCGCCGCGTCACTTGCACCGTGCAGATTCTCCTCTCAACAAAAAGAAGCTGTACCCCCCCTCCCTGGGCGTTATCCGCACCCCTTTTTTTAGGGTTTGTAAAACATATATGATTATGACCACATGTCCATCCCAAATATGAACTTGCTAGATCCCCGGGGGGGCCGGCATCGCTCCCCCTGAGGTTCCCTTGTGAAAACAATACGCGGGGACATTTGTTGCTCTAACATAGAATTTTCCAACGAATCCCAGGCAAAAAACGGGACGACGTGCACTCGCGCCCGTCGTCGCGCGCGCATGCCAAAATCCTTCAAAAACCTTTGGTGTCGGAAGGATTTCGCAATCGAGCTTCCCCAACAACATACAAAAACACAAGGTTTCGCAACGCTGATTTGCTAAAAAAACTTACGCGCGAGCTCTTGCGAAATCTTAAGAAACCATAAGTTTTTCAAGAGTCTCACAACATGCTACCAAACGGGCATCGCGCGCGCATGTCGAAATCTGTCGAACGCCCCTGCGCGTGTGCCGTCGCGAGAATCCTCTGCAAAAAAATTGGACGAAGTGCAAACGCGCGCGTCGTCGCGCGCGTATGCCGGAATCCTTCAAAAGAAATCGGTTTCGGGAGGATTTCAAAATCGCGCGTCCAAAAAAACACACACAGAAACACAAGGTCTCGCAACACGGATTTTCAACAAAAGCGTGCGCGAGCGCTCTTGCGACGTCGTCGTCGTCGTCGCCGTTCTCCCTCCTCCCGCGTCGTCGTCGTCGTCGCCTACGTCGTCCACTGTTGTTCCTCGCTTTCGTCGTCGTCGTCATCTTTGGCGTCGTGGTCGCTTCCGTCGTCGTTGTCGCCGTGGTCGTCCTTCCTCCTCCTCCCTCGTCGTCGTCGTCGTCCGTCGTCGGCGTCTCGCCGTCGTCCCTCCTAATTCGTCGCCGTCGTCGTCGTCGTTGTCGTCGTCGTCGTCTTCCCTCATCCCTCGTCGTTGTCGTCGTCGGCGTCGCCGTCCTTCCTCCTTCGTCGTTCGCGTCGTCGCCGTCCTCCCTCCTCCCTCGGCGTTGTCGTCGTTGTCGTCGTTGTCGTCGTTGTCGCCGTCGTCGTCCTCCTTCCTCCCTCGTCGTCGTCTTCGTTGGCGGCGTCGTCGTCGCCTTCGTCGTCGTCGTCGGCGTCGGCGTCGTCGTCGTCTTCGTCGTCGTCGGCGTCGTCGTCGTCACCGCCGTCGTCGCCGTCGTCGTCGTCGTCGTTGACGCCATCGTCGTCGTCGTCGTCGTCGGTGTCGTCGTTGTCGTCGTCGGCGTCGTCATCGTCGTCGTCGTCGTTGTCATCGTCGTCGTCGTCGTCGGCGTCGTCGTCGTCGGTGTCGTCGTCGTCGTCGTCGTCGTCGTCGTTGTCGGCGTCGTCGAAGTCGTTGGAGACGTCGTCGGTGTCGTCGCAGTCGTTGCGGGCTCGCGCGGCCGCAAAGATGTACCAGCCAACACCCAGCACTCATCGCAATCGTTCCCGCAACTTGGTGTTGCAAACCAAGTTGCGGGTGGGTGGGTGGGATGATTGCGCGAGCAGTGGAGTTGACAACTTCAAGTTCGGCAGGGTGGATTGCAACGCATAGATGGCATCGCATAGCTAACACTATATACATATTGCACCACGTAGATTGCACCACCTCGGTTGCACCACATCGATCGCACCACATGCGCCGCACCACATATATTGCACACCATGGCTTATACACCACATATAATACATCAAGTCGATTGCACCAAGTAGGTTGCGCCACGTCGGCGGCACCACATAGATTGCACCACGCGTGGCACCACATAGGTTGCATCACATCGATTGTGCCACAGAGGTGGCACCACGCCTATTGCACGACATAGGGTGCACCACATATCTCACACCACATAGATATCACTACATATGGTACAATATGCAATTGGTTGGGACCCACGCTGGCTAACATGAGCCCCGCTGTCGCATGCCAGGGTTTCACCGTAGCCGATTTGGCCCTAGCCGCGCTTCGACGCGGAGCTGCATACAGCGGTATACATCGCTTCGTTTTTTTTGGTTCCTGGTCAGCATTAATGGCGGGCGTGTTATCCGCGCATGCCAAAAACGCACCGACGACCTCATAACGAGGGGGCTGCAGTCCAGCTCCGACGGCGTCAACAGGATCTTCTGGGAGACACTCGAGGTTCTCAAGGGAGAGTACCTAATCAAGCTTGTGAAGAATAAGAGCCCTGCGAAGTTCTTCGTGCACCTGGGGAACAGGTTCGGCCTCGGGCTCAGCCCGCGCCAAGCCCATCGGGCTGGCGCGAAGATATGCGGCATCGGAGACGGTAAGGCTGCATTGACCAATGCCTTCGCCATCGAGATGCAGGTGGAAGGCCCGATGCGACAGGCAGCGGTGGACTTCAACTGCAGCGTCATCCCGAGGAGCAACGGCACCCTTGCTCAGCCCACCGGGCAGGAGATGCACCTCACGGTCGGGCGCGGCCATACGGTGGCCTTCTGCAAAGCGGCCCAAGCTGGATGTCACACGCCAATGAGAAACTCAGGAACTTCAGCGGCACCATCGACACGCAGAAACTGTTCAAAAGCAAGGTCTTCAAGTCCATGATCCAGGACGGGTGGGACTGGTGGATCATATCCGCGACGGCGAACAGGGAATGCCCTCTGCGCGCCGATCTCGCGCAGAAGGCGCTCAATGCAAACAACCGCGTGGCGCCCCTCATCGGGGAGGCGGCGGCTGCGCAGATGATGGCGGGACATCTGAAGGGCGGAGACCAGGCAGACGATAACCTGGAGGAGATGGCGCAGGAGTCCGTGCGATCCATGGGGCGCCCGTGCTCCCCCTACGTGGACGGCGTCACTAAGTTCGTTCGGATCTACGCTGGAGGGACTGGCGACCCCCACATCCAGTTTATCGACAAGGTGGCCAAGAAGTTCCACGCCACTGGAGTCTTGGGTAGAGGCTGTCGGGGGGACACCCCACGCACCCCTGCGCCCCCACGCCTTGAGGTGGTGCGATCGGCCTCCCGTCGGCGATGGATAACCTGCTCGGCACCGCGTTCTATGTTCATGGGTTGTTCACGCGCTGGGCGCGTAGTTTTTGGGCGGGGCCAGCGACGACCCATGCCCGCGGCTGGCCAATCGCGCGCTGCTGGTCGCGGGCGGGGGCGTGGAGGGGGGGGCGCGGGGGGCGGCGCCTTCCCAGAGGCTTCTGGAAGGCTGTGGCAGATACCACTTTCTACGACAGCAGTGGAAAGCGCCCCCTCATCAGGAACGCGATGGTGTTGGCCAACCGCACATCGAATACCATGGAGGTCGGAATCGCCACGCTCTTGTCGAGGAGCGACGCGATGAAGCTCGCGTCCAAGGCCAACGCGGAGACAGCAGCTGAGTGCAAAGGAACCCTCAGGGCCGCTGCAATCATCGTCAATTTCCTGAGGGGCGGCGGGAAGCTCAAGTCAGACGACGAAATGGGCCCCCCTGGTCGCGCGTGGATTCGGATGGCGCTACACGCCACCGGCAAGGGGCAACGGGCGAAGACGCAAGAGCGATGGAGTTGCCCGACATCCAGTCGCAGTACCTCGATGAGCTCATCGCGGCCGCCGGGCAGGAGGTCACGTGCGACTCGTGGGAGTCCGCCTGGAAAAAAGACTAACTACTCTACGAATGTGGAGGACGCCGGTACCAGTGCAGCGCCGTCCAAAACAACAAAAGGTCGCTGCACATATGAGGGGCCACGAGGACCCTGTCGGGATCTGCTCGCAGACTGGTTTCCGCCAGGGCTGCATCGTGATCAAGAAGGACGCCGCGGGGGACCCTAAGGGCCTTCACAAGCTACTTGGGTTCGCCGATGGGGCCCAGCTGCAGCAGGCGTTGAGTTGCGCGGGCGCGCAGAGGGGGATCACGTTTTCGATCGCTGTGAAGGGGTTTTCTGGATGAGTGGTCGCTGTACAACGGGGGCGCGCTGCCCATGCATTGGGTTCACCGCGAGAGCCCGACGCGACGGCCTGCCCAGGCTCCGTGCATGCGCGGGCTACCGACTGGATTAAGGCGGGGTTATTCATCGCCACCCACGAGGTATACGATGCCCATGACGACCTGAAGTTTGTCATACGCCCCGACGTGGTCATGGCCAAGAGGGAATTCAAGAAGGGCCCCCTCGCCCTCGCTCCGATGGCGCCGCCGTGCAACATCTCCACCAAGAAGCCCGCGGGGTCATGGGGCCTCGGCAAGCACAACGCGGGCAAGCAAGAGCACTTCGAGATTAAGCCCACCAGGCAGCCAGCCACGGCGGTCATCGACGCCTCGTACGGCATGAGCGCCTTCTGGTGGGTGAAGACACCAGCGGATACAGTCAAGACCATGGGCCACCACGGCGTGCCAACCCCGTGATTGTGCAACGCCACGAGAGCGATCAAGGCTCACGAGACGTTGGTATGCCTCAGGAGGTGAGGCGCGCGTGCAATGCGAGCAGAGTGTGACGCTCCCGTGCAGCGCCGATGCATGCCGCCATTCCCGCCAATGCATCGCGCACTGGATGGTTGTTCCGGGCGCAGCGCACCGCGCTATCATGAAACACCACCGCCGCTCTCCCATCCCCAACCTCCTCATCCTCCTAATCCTCATCCTCGCGGGGTATCGGGCTCGTCTCGGAGGCCCTCTCAGGGCGGCCCTGGGCCGCGCGAGTTGAAGCCCAGCTCGCTCCTGGGCCCCCTGAATCTAGAATGGCGCCATCTTGGGCCAAACACATCATAATGATGCACTTCGATCAACTGACCTCCTTCAGCGACTTGTTGTTGCCAACGTTGTTGTTGATCAAGGGATGGGGGCCTTTAAGTAGCATCGCCCCTTCTGTGGCCCAAGCGCCTCGACTCGTGAGGCCCTCTCCTATTGGAGCGCTCCTGGCGTCGTCTTGGGGTCATCTTATAGGCCCCTACTGGGGCCGCATCGCCATCGCACCCCGCACCGCCATCACCATTATAGCCGTGTGTCCGCTCAGGGCGCCGCGGTGCCCTTAGCGACAGCGCTGAATTAGGTGCTGTCTGTCAGCCGCAATGGCTAGCAACGCGGGGTGCCACCACATACACATGATAGCGGTCGATGTCGGGGTCGCCGACGGCAAGCCACTCACAGTGAAGTTTCCTAACCATGACGTGACCACAATGAGCAGCGGCGTGATATTCGTGAATCTCAGCTCTCACAACCGAAGCCTGCAACGCGCCGTGCGCAAACCCAGCTCGCATGGCGACCTACCAGAGGGCTCGCTGGTGGTTTCCAGCAGCATGGCTTTGAGGGGCCTCGTCAGGAAGCGGAACGTGAAGCAAGCTTCGTCGTTGCTTGCCGAGGGCGCGCCGAGGTGCCAGCTGTTCCCCGCTGCCACGCCCGAGAAGGTCGAGGCGCCGCTAGGCTCGCGCAAGCCCAGGAAGGACAAGGCCTCGCCCCGCGTCAGCCACAGCCAAGCCCGCGCCATGCGCGGCCATCCCGACACCATCACCATCGAGGTCGACGATGCGGACATCGCCGTGTTGCGCTGCGCGAGCCCGCGCGACCGACTGAGCGTCACGTGCGACATGCTCCCCGCGGTCATAGGCATCATGGCCGCGTCCGCGCGGGGCGAGCCCTGCGTTGAGCGGGGCCTCTCGTTGCCGAAGGGCGTGAGGAAGCAGAACGGGAAGTTCTGCTTCATGAGCGGCGGCGCCAAGAAGCGCAAGTTCTTTGTCACGCCCGAGGACGCAGCGGCTGCCATAGCTGAGGCATCGAGTCATGATAGCGCAAATGACGCTGGCCCTGATAGCGCAAATGGCGCTGATGCCATGTGATCCGCGCTGACGGCGTGTCTACTACCCAAACTTACGCTGTGTACCCCAGCGCACTGGGGAGGCACGCCCACGGGCGAATGCCCGATACATGGATACTCGCCGCGCGGGGTGCGTTTTGTGTTGAAGGGGAGCGTGGTGGCGGTCAGGGCATGGCGCAGGCACCGACACAACATGGCCACCATAACCATCGCGATGTCTCACCACCACCTCCGGTCGTCGTCGGCATCGCCATGGCGGTTGCACGCTTCACACCGTCGGCTGTGAGAGTGTGCCCCAGCTCGCCCTCGGCACCGCCCACGTCATCGTCGCTCCTAGCCTGGTCATCGCCATCGATATCCTCAAAATCCTCTCGATCCTTCCCGTTGGGTCATCAATCTCTCCCTCGCCATCTTCCCCATCGAGCTCGCCCTCCGCATGCCCGTCCTCTCCGTCTGAGCATCGAGACATCGATGGGCGGGGACGCGGATGGGGCGGGGTAGTGCCCCCAGTGTAGGATGCAATTCATATGAGATCGAGCACGGAGGGAATGCTAAACATCGATCGGCCACAATCGAAGGAACATGTCACACATGTCTGAAGAGGGCCCCAAGAAGGCCCCAGCAAGAGGACCCCAATAGGTCTCCAAGAGAGCCCCAAGATGGCCTCCAATAGCTCTTGCCCGCAGAGATCTGGATCAGAGCTCATCGGGGCGTTACCGAATGCCCCAAGAGGGCCCCAAGAGGGCCCCAACCAGTTTCCAAGAAGGCCCCGAGAGGGCCCCGAAGAGCGCTGGTCCGAAAAACTCTGACCCAAAGCTCCCCGCATTGATAGTATGGTGGGCACGAGCTGGATGACGAGCGCCGCATGTAGCCCCGAGGGCCCGAGGGCCATATGCATTGAAACAGTGGACAGCTGACTCCGCAACAAAGTGTTTGGGCCCGTAAGGCTTGTGTACGTGGCACCCTCAGGAAGACATCGACAGCACTGTGCAGACTGCACCGCATAGCACTAGCATGACATAGCTATCGCGTAGCATGGCATAGCGTATCACATCGCTATCATAGCATGGCACTTCATCGCATCTAGCATGTAGCATTCGGGCTAGGGTGAGAGGAGGAGAGCAGGAACATTTGAAAAAAGAAGGAACATGAGCATAAGCAGGGCTAGGGTGAGGAGGGGGAGAGGGGGAGGAGCAGGGGGAGGGGGGAGTAGAAGGAGGAAGAAAAGGAGGACGAGGAAGAGGAGGAGGACGAGTAGGGGGGAGAGAGACAGACGGGGATGAGGAGAATACGGAACGGGAAGGCGAGAAGTAGGAGGAGAGGGAAGATGAGGAGGAAGATGAGGAGGAGGAGGAGGAGGAGGAGGGAGGAGGGAGGAAGAGGAGGAAGAGGAGAGGAGGAGGAGGAGGAGGAGGAGAGAAGGAGGAGGAGGAGGAGGAGGGAGGAGGAGGAGGGAGGAGGAGAAGGAGGAGGAGGAGGAGGAGGAGGAAGGAGGAGGAGGAGGAGGTGGAGGAAGAGGAGGGAGGAGAAGGAGGAGGAGGAAGGGAGGAGAGGAGGAAGGGGAAGAAAAAGGGTGATAGGGGGCGGGGAGGACGAGGAACGAAGCTACCCCAGGACACAAGGTAAAGCCTGAAAGTAAAGAAGATATTCGACATATCAAGGGCTCCTGAGTACGGATACCCCTGGCACGGTTCCCTTCACCATCTCAGAAAGTCACGCCGCACGTGTGCAAAGGAGCAGCAGCAGCTGGAGGAGCAGGAGTATGAGGCCGAGGAGGACGGGACGGGAGCAGAGGCGGAGCAGCAGGAGCAGGGGGAGTCGGGGAAGAGGGAGGAGGGGGAGGGAGGTGGGCGGGGGGAGGGGGGAAGGGGGAGGGCAGAGGTGGCGAGGATGAGGAGGGATAGAGGAAAGGACGAGAACAGCCCAGACCCCCGACGTCCTGATTTTTTTCCATGGCGTGGACCTCCAGCGGCCTGAACCCCCTCCCCGGGACCGGCTTCTCGTCCCGAGTCGTGTCGCTGACGGCCCCGAGGCCAGGCGAAGGCCCCCGGAGGCCGAAAATATGGAAGAACCTTCCGCCACGGTTCCTTCATGACCCGAGGGGAAGGAGGAGGAGGGAGTGAGGGAGTGAGGGAGGGAGGGAGGGAGGGAGGGAGGGAGGGAGGGAGGGAGGGAGGGAGGGAGGAGGAGGAGGAGGAGGAGGAGGAGGAGGAGGAGGAGGAGGAGGAGGAGGACGGAGGAGGAGGAGGAGGATGAGGAGGAGGAGGACGAGGAGGGAGGAAGAGGAGGAGGGTGGGAGAGGAGGAGTGACCCGAGGGGGTCTGGGTGGGAAGCCCCGAGACCCGCCGGTGTGTCGCAGCCTCGCGCGGGCTGCGCCGGGCGGCCGCCGCGCGTCCTGCCAGCCCGCGCCCGAGCTCGCGGACATCACCAGCCGCAGGACGTAGGCGCCGGGCGCCACGGGCAGGGGCGGGGCAAACTCGGCCGCGCGGGCGGGCGGATCGGGCAGGGGGCGTGTCGGCCCACATCCCCAGACCCCCTCGGGACATGACGAAATCATGACGGAAGGCTGTTCCTAAAGTTTCGGCCTCTGGGGGCCCTCGCCGGGCCTCGGGAGCGTCAGAACACGACTCGGGAGGAAAAGCCGGTCCCGGGGAATGGGTCGAGATCTTTGGGAGTCGACGTCTTGAACAAATCATGACGCCAGGGGTCTGGATCTCAGGAAGGGGAAAAACACAGACACAATCCATCGTCGACCCCCGGGGCAACACAGGAAGATACGAGAAGTGGGGGGGGAAGACGAAAACCCAGAAAATATACATCAATGTGGGAAACCCTGAGATTTGTGTCTGTTCATCTGTGTTCCTGGGCCCCTGTGTCTGTGTGTGTGTGTTCCTAGGGCTCTCTGATGGACCAGCAGAAAGGTCGGGCCCAACCCTGGGATGCACGGTGGGGGGGCGTCCATCCTCGAGATGGGTGCGTGCGCCAGGCCCCCTTGGGGTGCATCCCAGAGTCTCCCCCATTGTCTGAGCGGCCGAACGTTGCGGGCGAAGCTCGGGGACCCAGCTATGCGACGTCCTGATGTGTTCCGTGCGCGGCGCCCCGAAGTCCCGACCCCTCGCCGGGGCCGTTCTCTTTCGCCCCGAGCTGTCTATCACCGGACGGCCCGGAGGCTGGGCAAGGGCCCCCAGAGACCGAAGACGGCAGCAGACACCGTCCTGATTCCTGCGCGACGCGAGCATGTCTTGACGAACGATCAACACGCACCCACACCCACAGGGGGGACGGAATGAGCTATGGGTGTGTGTTGTCGGATGGGGGTCCCCGCTCCAACGGGAGCCTTCCCAGGGGTCCGACAACCCGCACCCATACCCATAGCCAGTCCTTCTCCCTCCGACCTCCCTATGGGTATGGGTGTGCGTTGTTCGCTCGTCATGCCTGGGCATCGAGGGAGAAACATCGCCTGCGACGATAGATGGATCGGCCAGTCGGTCGGCCGATCGGGGAGGCGAGGCCTCGGCGAGGGGCCCGGCCTCGCCCTCGCTGCCCCTCGCCGCCGCGGGGAGCGGGCCATATGACTCCGAGAGGTGCCCCCGCCAGCGGCGCGCCCCACGGAGGGAGCTGCGGGCGGGCGGCCGCCGGCCTCGGCTCCGAGGGCCCCCCCCGCCCCCGCGACTTCCTACAGACCCCCGACGCCGTGAAGTTTTTCACTGCGCCGATCCCCAGAGGTCTCGACCCAGCCCCCTATGACCGGTGCCTCACCCCGAGAATCGTTTTGTTGACGGCCGCGAGGCCCGGCGAGAGCCCCCAGGCAGGGGCCAAAAAACGGGAAAAAGCTCCCGTCGTGACTTTGTCATGACTCGAGGGGGTCTGGGGCCCGAGGCCCCGCATGGTAAAGAATCAGCTCGCGTAGCTCCTCCTCCTCCTCCTCCTCCTCCTCCTCCTCCTCCTCCTCCTCCTCCTCCTCCTCCTCCTCCTCCTCCTCCTCCTCCCCCCTCCTCCCTGGTCCTTCTGGCGCCTCCTGTGGCGCCAGTGCCTCGAGAGGCATGGGTCGGGCGGCGGGGCGGAAAACCGGCGGCCTGCCGCAGATGTCGTGCCCTCCCCGCTTCCCTATCCTACCCTTTCGCCTGCGACCCCAGACCCCCTCGAGTCATGAAAAGATCAGGACGGAGCGAAGAAGTAATGCTGGGGGTGGGACGCCAGCCACGGGGCTGGGGTCGAGGCCTCCGCGAGTCCGCGATGAGAGACCGTGACGTCGGGGGTCAGGGTCTGGAGCTCCTCCCGGCCCGCTTGGAGGGCCAGGAGGGCGCGGAAGGGGGTAAGGAGAGGCAGGGCGAGGATGATGATGATGATGATGATGATGAGGAGGAGGGAGGAGGAGGGAAGGAGGTGGAGGAGAGGGAGGAGGGGGGGGGGGGGGGGGAGGGGGAAGGAGGCGCAGTGCAACGAGGAGGATGGCAACCCGCGGTCAATTGTCAAGCGTCGCCCGAGGAGGTCGTGGCCGTCTAAGGGCACCACGCTGAGGCTCAACGCCGACTCGGAGTCTTGCAACAGGACGGGATCGCCGGAGCCTGTGCCGCTGACTCCCCATATCCTTCTCCTCATCCTCCTCCTCCTTCTCCTCCTCCTCCCTCCTCCTCCCTCCTTCCCTCCTCCTCCCTCCTCCTCCTCCTCCTCCTCCTCCTCCTCCTCCTCCTCCTCCTCCTCCTCCTCCTCTTGCTACTTCTCCTCCTCCTCCTCATCCTCCTCCTCCTCCTCCCCCTCCTCCTCCTCCTCCTCCTCCTCCTCTCCTCCTCCTCCTCCTCCTTCCCTCCTCCTCCTCCTTCTCCCATTCCTCCTCTCATTCATCCTTCTACTCCCCCATGTTTGTCCTCCTCCCCCTATCCCTTTCCCAATCATCCGTCCTCTTCTCGAACCTAGTCCCCCTCGAATCCGTCCGGAGATCTCCCGCAACATCCGAGAACCTTCCGAACGTCATTCGAATGCATCCCCCCTGAACACATCAGAGATGCTGCGAAGCCGCGTCCTCGTTCTTCTCGTCCACGCCATCGCCCTCGTCAAACGTTATGATTATTACGTATTATCCTCCTCCCTCCTCCTCCTCTCCTCCTCCTCCTCCTCCTCCTCTTGCTCCTCCTCCTCCCCTCCTCCTCCTCATCTATCCTCCTCCTCCCCTCATCCTCCTCCTCCCTCCTCCTCCTCTTATCCCTCCTTCCTCCTCCTCCTCCTTCTCCTCCTCCTCCTCTTCCTCCTCCCCCTCCCGCCTCCTCCGCCTCCGCCTCCTCCTCCTCCTCCTCCTCCTCTCCTCCTCCGACTCCTCCTCCTCCCCCTCTTCCTCCTCCTCCTCCTCCTCCTCCTCTCTCCTCCTCTTCCTCCTCCTCCTCCTCCTTCTCCTCCTCCTCCTCTTCCTCCACCCTCTCCGCCTCCTCCGCCGCCGCCTCCTCCTCCTCCTCCTCCTCCTCCTCCTCCTCCTCCTCCTCTACTCCTCCTCCTCCTCCTCCTCCTCCTCCACCTCCTCCTCCTCCTCCCTCCTCCTCCTCCTCCTCCCTCTCTTTCTCCCCTCCTGCTCCTCCTCCTCCTCCTCCTCCTCCTGCTCCTCCTCCTCCTGATCCTCCTCTTCCTCCTCCGCCTTCTCCTCCTTCTCCTCCTCCTTCTCCCCCTCCCCCTCCCCCCTCCTCCATCCTCCTCCTCCTCCTCCTCCTCCTGCTGCCTCCTCCTCTTCCTCCTCCTCCTCCTCCTCTTCCTCCTCCTCCTCCTCCTCATCCGCCTCCTGCTCCTCGTCCTTCTCCTCCTGTTCCTCCTCCTCCTCCTGCTGCTCCCTCCCTCCTCCTCCTCTCCTCCTCCTCCTCCTCCTCCTCCTCTTCCTCCTCCTTCTCCTCCTCCTCCTCCTCCTCCTCCTCCTCCTCCTCCTCCTCCTCCCCCTCCTCCCCCTCCTCCGCCTCCTCCTCCTTCTCCTTCTCTTCTCCGCATCCTTTGTTCCGCCTCCTCCGCCTCCTCTTCCCCCTCCCGCCGCCAGGGCCTGCAGTCTCGGGCACCAGCCACCAAGCCTTCCACTCGGGCGCCACGCACTCGCCAGACACGGCGGACGAGGCTGTCAGGGCAAGCGTGGCCTGAGAAGAGGGGAGAGGAGGGACGGCAGGGCAGGGAGAAGGGCAGAGGAGGTAACAGGGAGCAGGGAGGGATGAAGGGGGCGGGGAGCAAGGAGGGGAGTAGAGAGCAGGAAGTAGGTAGGAGAAGGGGGACAAGCTACGTGCGCTCGCGCCATATCCGACATCCTGCTGCTCCCTTCCATCCCTCCCCATTGCGCGGATGTTTCTCTATCCGCGGAAGCGTGTCGTAGCCGACCTGGACGCCCAACGGGAAGACCCCATCGTGTTATGCGAAACCGGAAATGAGGAACTGCGTACATAGGAGAAGGAGGCGGTTGGTGAGCTGGAGGATGGGCAGGAGGACAAAGAGGAGGAAAGAGGAGAACGAGGACGAACAGCGGCAGCAGCAGGAAGTGGAGTGGAAGGAATGAAAGGAGCAGGCGGACCAAGGGAAGGCGAAGGAGGGGAAATAAGGGGGTCGACAACAATGAAAAAGGACTTGGATCCAGAAAAGCGGCCCGCGCTGAAGCAAGAGCGCCATTCAAAACGACGGAAGCACAGCGCGTATCCGAAAGTGAGGCCCACGCTGCAGCGAGAACACCACTTTGAAACACCGACAAAAATCATATTGCAACCGAAGCAAATGAAACACAACTGTTGAAAGCCAGGGTTAAAAAAAACAGTACTCGGAGAGAACCGGTCATCTTCTAGACAGGGTGTTCCAGGGCGGGTTCCAGGGGTGCCCTCCGAAAAAAAAGGGGAATGGCAGCCGGGAGAAGGAAGGAGGAGTGAGACAGAGGGAAAGAGAGGAAGAGAGAGGGAGAGAGAGGGAGAGAGAAAGAGAGGGACATTATGAGGGATACGCACACAAATATATATATATAATATATATATATATATATATATATATATATATATATATATACATATATATACACACCAGCCAGGGTGGACCCAAAACAATGTGTTTCTAGAAACGCGGTGTGTGCAATACATGTGGAGCAATTTGCGTGGCCCACTATACGTGGTGCAATCCATACTTTGTATCTTATGTGGTGCGTCAGTGTGTTTCGCAACGTATGCGGAACGCGGTGCAACCTGTATTGCGCAGTCTATGTTGTGCAATATCGGTTGTGCCGTCTATGTGGCGTAATCTCTTCGGTGCAGACTAGGTGGTGCAATGTAGGTTGTGCTGCCTAAATGGAGCAATCTACGTGGTGCTATAAAGGTGGTGCAACATCTGTGGAGCATCAAATTTACGTAGTGCAATATCGATGGTCCAGTATAGGTATAGGCGGTGCATGATCCGGTGTGCAATATATGTCGTGTAACCTATGTTGCGCGATTAATTTCGATGCGCAATGAGTTGTCAACGCCAGTGCTCGTGCAACAGCCCCATGCACTCATCCGCAACATGGTTTACAAAACCCAGGCGGCGGCGATTGCGATGAGCGCTTGGCGTTGGCTGGTGCATCCCTGCGGCCGAACTAGCCTGCGCATGCTCGCGCGCGAAGCGGTCAAATAGCTTGGCGCGACCGACGCGGCCGCGGTGGCGCTAACCGCGGGGCATTTCCAAGCAGGCACTTCAGCGCGGGTCGGCATGACGGTCGCAGCGATGCGGGTGACGATGGTGACAGAGACGTCAGCAAGGCCAGTGACGGCGCCGATGCTGATCACGCCGACGACGATCACGACGTTTTCGCGTCGGTGATGAATGTTTTGGGAAGAGTTCGACATGCGCGCGCGGCCGACGCGCGAGTGGCACGCATGGTGTTTTCTGACATGGATCGTGTCCCCCAGCGCGCTCGCAAGGGCGTTCGAATGATTTCGACATGCGTCGACATGCAGCGCGAGAGGCCAGTTTGGCCGAATAGAATAAAAAATGGGCTACCCATGGTTGTTTGTAGAATTCCCCGGAAGGAAAACGAAGACATTTTAAACATGGATGTTCAAACACAGTGTGTTTGTATGTGTGTTCGGGGCACTCGATTTTGAAATCCCTAACATCCTTCAGGTTGTTTAAAGATTTCCGCATGCGCTCGCGACGACGCGTGCGTGCATACTTCGTCCTGGCATTTGCAGGGGATTCTTGTGACAGCACGCGCGCAAGGGCGTTCGAGCGATGTCGACATGCGCGCGCGCAGGGCGCGTTTGGTAGCATGTGGCGAACATGTTGAAAGAAAACCATTCATTTTCTTCAGAATCTGCAAGAGCGCGAGCGCAGGTTTTTCTTCCTCTGTTGTGTTTGGTGGTGGGGGGAAAATCGCGTTGCAAACCCATGTGTGTTGATATGTTTCTGGGCCACTCGATTCTCAAACATGCTTACGGAACATCCGGTGTTTGAGAGGTCCCGGCATGCGCGCGCAACGACGCGCGCGTGCGCTCTTCGTCTCATTTGCGCGAAGGGTGATTGAACACTTTGTTTAACGCGTGCGATCATACATATTTCGCATCGGTTGACAGGGAGGGGGGCGGTACCGGCCTGCCTGGGATAATACGAAGTCATATTTCGGAAGCAGCGATGTACCAGAAATGCATGTGAACTGCCATCCGGAAAAAGGGTACCGTGAAGTCTAGGGGGGGCTATATTCTTAAAACAGAGAAAACCGTCGTGGTGCACATTACACTGCTGTAAGCTCCACTATCCGCGCAATCATCCCAGACGCCCACCTGGAACGACCCGTGCGGCGGCGATTGTGATGACTGCTTGGCGCTGGCTGGCGCATCGTCGCGGCCGCGCTAGCGAGCGCAGGCTAACGCTCAGAGCGGCCAGCTGGTCTGGCGCGACCGACGCGGCCGCGGTGGCGCTGAGCGCTGGGGGAATCCTAGCGCGTTCCGCACGCCGCGCTGACGCGCGGGCGTTTCCGTGCGAATATGTGATTCGGGCGAGCGCGGTATCATGGCGACGTCGGCAACGGCAAACACGAGGATCGTAGCAGCGATGCTGGGAGCGACGAGGACGATGACGACGGCAAGGCCAATGACGGTGCCGATGCTGATCACGCGGACGACGATGACGGTGTCCACGCGTCGGCGATGAGAGTTGAGGAAGGAGTTCGGCATGTGCACGCCCCGACCGACGCGCACGAGTGGCCCGCGTGGTATCATTTGAAACGGATCGTGCCCCCCCACCGCCCCAACACACGCGCGCACGGGCCCGCTCGGTCGCACATGGTAAAAACGTTGGGAAATATGTTTCTCGTAAGAACCAGCAGTAGCCGATCGCGTGCGCAAGCCTTCTCAGAAACAAACCAGATTGCAGAACCGATTCGTTGTCATATGCGTTCGGGAACGTCGGTCTTGAAAGCTTTACGCCATCTGGAAAGTTGTTCGTAGATGTCGGCACGCGCGCAAAGCTGCGAACTCATAGACTTCGCCAAATTGTTTTGCAAAGGGGCTCTTGCGAACATGGCTTGTGTTGCTAAACGAGCGCGCGCGCACGATCCTTTGCCAAGGATGCGGGGTGGGAAAGGGATTTGATACTGGTACGGCTGAGATGGTATGACTCCTCATCGAGAATGGACGACGGGACAGAATTACATGCACTACCCCAAGCCGGAACGAACTGTCCTGAGGGGAGGGTGGCCGATCCGAACTCATTTTAAATGAAGGATTATAGTTTGTGAAATCTATGGCGTGCAGCCTACGCGTTGCAACGGATGCGGTGCATTGGATTTGTGTCCGCAGTGAATTGTCAGCTCCGCTGCTCTCGCAGTACAATCCCACCCACCCACCCGCAACTTGGCTTACACACCGCATGCGGGGGCCATTGCGATGACTGCTCGGCGCTGGCTGGCGCACAGTTACGGCCGCGCTAGCGCGCGCAGGCTAGCGCGCAGAGCGGCCAGCTGGTCTGGCGCGACCGACGCGGCCGCGGTGGCGCTGACCGCCGGGAACTACCCAATACATCCCGCACGCCTCGTTGACGCGCAGGGGCATCAGTGCGATTCGGTGACCAGGCGGGCGCGGTAGCATGGCTAGGCCGACGACGGCAGACACGTTGATGATAGCACCGACGCTAGTGACGATGACAACTATGACGACGACAAGGGCAATGACGGCGCCGATGCTGATCACGCCGATGACCATGATGGTGTCCACGCGTTGGCTGTGAAGGTTTGGAAAAATTCCGACATGCGCGCGCGTCCGAGAAGCGCGAATGGCCCGCCTGGAAGGAACGTGCCCCCCAGCACGCGCACAAGGCCTTTCGAATGACATCGACATGCGTGCGCGAACGACCCCTTTGGTCGAATGTGATAAGCATGTTGGAAGAACTGTTTCTGTCTCAAGAATTCGAAGGGGCGCGCGCGCATACCTTCCTTTCCAACAAGTCGGAGGACGGGGGAGAGATCGCAGTGGAACGGAAGGCCCCCCACCAGGAAATCGGTTTCCATTTCGTGTTCGTGTCGTACGTGCGGGCGCAACGAAGCTGCGTGGGCGCGCGGGAAGAATGACCCCACCGCCGCTGCGGCGATTCGGATGCAACAGTCTGGCCATCTGGTGGGCGCGCGGTTGGTGGGTGTCTCCCGCCGTGGTGCCTCCCTTGGTGTCTCGCCGCGGCCGCGTGGGTAGGATGGCCCCGCCGTCGCTCGGGCGATTCGGACGCAAACGTCACGCCCTCCGGTGGGCGCGCGGTGGCTGGGGGTGTCCCGCCGTGGTGTCCCGCGTTGTCCCGATAGTGTCCCTCGGTGTCCCGCCGTGGTGTCCCAATGGTGTCTCGTGGTGTCCCGTGGTGTCCAGCGGCATCGAGTGGTGTCCAGTGGTGTCCCGCCATGGTGCCCCGATGGCGTTCCGATCGATTGCGAAAACGATCATGAAATCGATAACGACCGATCTGTGGTGAGATCGGTCGTGAGATCGATGGTCGGATCGATCATGAGGTCGATCGTGAGATCGGTCGGTGCATTGATCGTGCGAGCGGCAACGGTATCGATCGTGAAGACGATACGAGCACCGATCGTACAACCCATAGCGAGCTCAATCGGGCGATCGCTTGCGAAAGCGACAATGGGATCGATCGTGAAACCGATTGTTAGCTCGAATGTGCGGTATATTCAGATCACACTCGTCGCAGTTGCCAGCTATTGATTTTTTCTCGTCCCCCGAACCTCCTTATCACCCGAAGGGTGGTCATATAGATACGTTAACACCTTGTATGTTTGTATGCTTCTGGATATTGGATTCCAAAGCCCGTGCGAAACTCAAGCTTTCATGGTTCAAATATCGTACGAATGCAAAAAACAAACAAACATGCGCGCGACGATGCGCGACTGCGCGCTTCGTCCCATATTACGGAAAGGGTTCTTGGAAACGAATGATTTGCGATAGCGGTACGAACTCAAACTCAGGCACATGATTGCCATGGGCAAGCGTGCAGAAACATATGCTAAACACAATACGGGAAAAAAGGGTGATTCGTTGACCTTTGGGGGGGGTAGATTCAAATTCCTTGTTCGAGAGAAAAGTTCACCCTGCCGAACTTGAACTTGTCAACTCCACTGCTCGCAATACCATCCCACCCTCCCGCCCGCAAATTGGTTTGCAAAACGCATGCGGGGGCCATTGCGATGACTGCTGGGCGCTGGCTGGCACATCACCGCGGCCGCGCTAGCGCGAGCAGGCTCGCGCGCAGAGCGGCCCGCTGGTTTGGCGCGACCGACGCGGCCGCGGTGGCGCTGACCGCTGGGAACTCTCGAGCGCGTCTCGCAAGCCGAGCTGAGGCGGTGGCATTTCAGTGCGAGTTGGTGGCTCGGTCGGGTGCGGTGTCATGGCGATGTCGACGACGGCAGGCACGATGATGATGCTAGCGATGCGGATGACGACGATGACGATGACGAGGGCAAAACCAATGACGGTGCCGACGCTGATCACGCCGATGACGATTATGGTGCCCACTCGTCGGCGATGGAGGTGTTGAAAGGATTTCGACATGCGCGCGCGGCCGACATGCGCGAGCGGCCCGCATGGCATCATCTGACAAGGACCGTGCCCCCCCACCCAGCACGCGCACAAGGGCGTTCGAACGATTTCGGCATGCGCGCTTGAAAGGCCCGCTTCGCTGCAAACTTGATAAACATGTTGAAGCCCATATGGTTTTCTTGAGACTTCGCCAGAGCGCGCGCAGACTTGTTTGAAAGGTCACGTTGCTATAGCATGCGTCCTTATATGTTAAGGACACTCGAGTTTGAAGTCTGTGCGAAACCCAAGGTTCTCAAAGGACCCCGATCTAGGCGCACGACGGTGGGCGCGTGTACACAGCGTCTCGTCTTGCGCAAAGGACTATTGCAAGTGCCGTCGGGTCGGAGAACGCCAGGGGGGGCCGCCGCTGTCTCTGCTGGCCTTCCTCTGCTGCTGCGACGACTGGAGCCGAAAGCCCCACACTCCTGCGATCGGCGACGTCTCGGAACCAAGTTGCGGTCCAGCACTAACAAAGCTTCTGCAGAGCGCAAAATAAGTATACGAGAAGCCCCAAACGTGCGAACCCCGCTGTGGTCGATGCGGGGCCCCCCGAAGCCCCGACCCCTTCCCCAGGAGCGGCCTCGGGCCCAGCCAGGCCCCCCGGATGCCAAAGACTACCAAGAACCTCAGGCCGCGTTTGTCAATGCACCGACCTCGCAGACGTGTTGCGGCGGATTTCTGCGTGGATTCCCGTCAATGCAAGACCCCGAAACGGTGAGTGGAAGACAAAGTGAATATCGCGCGGGTTTTTGTTCAAGTCTTCACTCCTGGCCGAAAAAACAGATCCACGCGAAATCCACCTCGAAGTCCGGAACGAAACTCTCCAGGACCATCGGGGCCCACCCCATGGTCTTCCGCCCGAAAAATCCGCTCCGCCATGTGGGCGCCATGAAAGTCTGTTTACGACGCGAGCATGGCTGGGACGCAGGGGGCCGAGAGCAGCAGCGGCAGCGGGGCGCCAAGGGCAGGCGGCGGACCTGGGGCGAGACCTCCGCCGGCGGCTTCGCCATGGACACCACCGGGCTCGCGGCGGCGCTGAGGAGGACGGTGACCTCGGCGGGGGGGGCCCTCGCGAGGGGGACGAGGTCGACCAAGTGCTCCTCCTCCTCCCCCTCCTCCTCCTCCTCCACCTCCTCGTCCGCCCCCCTCCTCCTCCTCCTCCTCCCCCTCCTCCTCCTCGTCCGTCCCCCCTCCTCCTCCTCCTTCTCCATCCCTGGTCCGTGCAGGTGGCTCCTCCCCGTCGCGCCCCCGAAACGTGTCGGCAGGGCCGGCCGGGCACTCCCTCAGGATTGTCCCTCACCACCTCTGAAACTGGGGCTTGGTACAAGGCAGCTTCTGATACGTAGGATCTTAAAAGCAAAAACATGGGATGCTTAACACATGACTAATGTAATTATGCAGTATGCATAAATCTATGCATGAACTCGTCGTTGATGTTAGTGCTGAATCCCTGCACTTTTTCAACGCATGATCCGCACGCGGAGCATGGATTAAAAACGGCACGGTAGGTGCAGCAGCTTCGCGGACGGAGGGCGGGCCATGTTCTTCAACGTGCCGCTCTCGCCCCGGCGCCGCGCAGCCTCGTGCGAGAGGCCTGCCGCAGCTGCAAGCGGCTGGAGGGCGCCGGGTGTTCGAGCTGCGGCTCTCGCCGCAGCGCCGCGCACGCTCGTCCTAAGAGCTTGCAGCTGCCTCACGGAGGAAGGGCGGGTGGTGCTCAAGCCGTGGCTCTCGCCGTCGCGCCGCGCACATCCGTCTCAGGACGCTTGCATCCCGCTTCACGGACGCGGGGCGGCTCCCTCCTCAAAGTGTGGCTCCGGCCCCAGCGCTGCGCACGTGCATCCTAAAAGTGTGCAGCAGCTGCACGGGAAAGATGTGGCTCTCGCCCGCACGCCGCGCGCGGTCATCGCAAATGTTTGCAGCAACTTCAGATGCTCACAGGGCTGGAGTCCCAGAAACTGTGTTCCGGCAAGGTTCAAACACTGTCAGGCCGAACCAGCCACGTTGACTCGCGGAATTAACGTCCCAGGGAAGGGGTATTCTAGCACGGTTTCGGACTGTCTGGACGTTACCGTCACCAGGATCCGCGGCGATGACTTTCCCAGGATTCACGATTGAGAATGCTCAGACGGTTGTCTTCTAATGGGCCACTTCCCGCAATGAACATACATTCTGCGAGGGGCCCGTGAAGGGGAAACTTAGAGGAAGGGCTTATTGCAACATCGTTGACGCGTCTTGGGTTTATACTGGCCCTCCTCATCAATCCTCCTCCTCCTCCAACTCCTCCCCCGACCTCCTCCTCCAACTCCTTAGCTTTCTCCCCCAATTCGTTCCTCATCGTACTCCTCCTCCCCCTCCTCCTCCTTCTCCAACTCCTCCTCCTCCTCCCTTCTCCTCCTCCGCCGCCTCCACTCCCTCCCTCATCGTCCTCCTCCTCCTCCTCCTCCTCCTCCTCCTCCTCCTCCTCCTCCTGATCCTCTTCCTCATCCAACTCCTCCTCCCTTCTTCTCCTCCGCCGCCTCCACTCATTCACTCGTCGTCCTCCTCCTCCTGATCCTCCTCCGCCTGCGCCCTCCTCCTCCTCTTCCCTTCCGCCGCCTTCCGTCTCCTTTCTCCATTTCCATCCACGTCCTCCGTCCTGCTCCTCATCCTTCTCTCCTGCCCCTCCTCATCCTCCGACCTCCCTCCTCCTCCTCCTCCTCCTCCTCCTCCTCCGCCTCCTCCTCCTCCTCCTCCTCCCACATACTCCTCTTGATTCTACTCACCTCCGCCTTCCTCCTCCGCCGACCTTGTCGCTCGACGTCACCTCCTTCCTCACTCCTCCTCCTCGTCCCTCCTCCTCCTCCTCTTGATCAATTTCTTCTCCTGCTCCTCCTCCTCCTCCTGTGCCCTCCTCCTCCTCCTCCTCCTCCTGCTCCTCCTGCTCCTCCTCCCTTTCCGCCCTCCCCCTCAACCGCACTTCTTCCTCCATCCTCTTCCCGTCATCCTCCACCATCCTCCTCCATCCTCCATCTTCCTCCTCCTCCTCCTTATCCTCCTCCGCCTCCTCCTCCGCCTCCTCCTCTTCCTCCGCCTCCTCCTCCCCTCCCTCCTCCTCCTCCTCCCTCCCCTCCTCCTCCTCCTCGCTCCTCCTCCTCCTCCTCCTCCTCCTCCTCCTCCTCCTCCTCCTGATCCTCCTCCTGATCCTCCTCGTCCTCCTGCGCCCTCCCCCTCCTCGTCCTCCTCCTCCTCTTCCGCCGCTGCCGCCCTCCTTTCTCCATTCTCCATCCACCGTGCTCCGTCCTGCTCCTCATCCTCATCTTCCACCCGTTGTCCTCCTCCTCCTCCTCCTCCTCCTCCTCCTCCTCCTCCTCCTCCTCCTCGTCCTCCCAATCCTCCCCTCATCCTCAACCCTCCTCATACCTCCTCCTCCCAGATACTCCTCTCCTTCTTCTCCACCTCCGCCCTCCTCCTCCGCCGACCTTATCCCTCGTCGTCCTCCTCCTCCTCCTCCTCCTCATTCTCTTCCATCCTCCATCCTCCATCCACTATCCTCCATCCTCCGTCCCCCATCCTCCAACCTCTTCCTCTTGCTCCACCTCCTCCTCCTCCTCTTGATCAATTCTTCTCCTGCTCCTCCTCCTCCTCCTCCTACTGTGCCCTCCTCCTCCTCCTCCTGCTCCTCCTGCTCCTCCTCCCTTTCCGCCCTCCCTTTCAACCGCACTCCTTCCTCCATCCTCTTCCCGTCATCCTCCACCATCCTCCTCCATCCTCCATCTTCCTCCTCCTCCTTATCCTCCTCCGCCTCCTCCTCCGCCTCCTCCTCCTCCGCCTCCTCCTCCTCCCCTCCCCTCCTCCCCGCCCCCACCTCCCCCTCCTCCTCCACCTCCTCCTCCTCCTCCTCCTCCTCCTCCTCTCCTCCTCCTCCTCCCCCATCCCCTCCTCCTCCTCCTCCTCCTCCTCCTCCTGATCCTCCTCGTCCTCCTGCGCCTCCTCCTCCTCGTCCTCCTCCCGCCGCTGCCGCCCTCCTTTCTCCATCCTCCATCCACCGTGTTCCGTCCTGCTCCTCATCCTCATCTTCCACCCTTTGTCCTCCTCCTCCTCCTCCTCGTCCTCCCAATCCTCCTCCTCATCCTCAACCCTCCTCATCCTCCTCCTCCCAGATACTCCTCCTCCTTCTTCTCCACCTCCGCCCTCCTCCTCCGCCGAAATTATCCCTCGTCGTCCTCCTCCTCCTCATTCTCTTCCATCCTCCATCCTCCATCAACTATCCTCCATCCTCCGTCCCCCATCCTCCAACCTCTTCCTCTTGCTCCACCTCCTCCTCCTCCTCCTCCTCCTTCTCCTCCTCCTCTTCCTCCCCCCTCCCCCTCCCCCGACCACGACGACGACGAGACACAACTGCTCTCCCCGCAGGCCTCGGCCACGCCCTGGGCCCCGTCCGACGCGCGCGCCGCGGTGACGGAGAACCGGTACTCCCCCGGTTCGAGCGACCCGCCCGCCACCTCGGCGCGGGTCGCGAGGGCGCGGTTTCATGGAGGAGGTCGGGCAGGAGAAGAAGGAGTGAGGAGGAGAAGGAGATGGAGGAAGCTGAGGAAGAGAAGGAGAAGGAGGAGAAGGAGCAGGCAGAGGAGAAGGAGGGGGGGAGGAAGAGGAGGATGACGAGCAGGAGGGGGAAGGGTGGAGGGCGGAGAATGGAAGCCTCCCAAATGGGGTCCGAGTAGTAGGTAGGGTCGGATATGTATCGGCGATGCGCCGGTGATGCATCGGCGATGTATCGGCGACGATGGCGATGCATTGGCGACGTCGGCCTGGAGAAGATCGGGCTCCACAGTGGGCCGCATCGACGATGCATCGCAGATGCATCGACTGTGCGGCGCGATCCTCCGAACCCATCTGCTCCGACCCCATCTGGGAGGCCTAACGAGAAGCAGACGAACTACAGCAGTAGAACTTGCTTTACCGTTTTTGTTTCCCCTGGTGCGGGGATGGTCGAAATCGGTGTTTTGCTCGATCCGAAACGTTTTCGAACAGATCCCAACCGTCCGTCAATTCTCCCGACTGCCCAGGCCGTTTCGGTGAATCATTTTTTACCGCTTCGGTGGACCGTGTTTTTACTATCCGCCGACCCTGTCGGAGCGTGAGAGACGCTGTTCCGTTTAACTCGTCGTCGTCGTCGTCGTCGTCGTCGTCGTCGTCGTCGTCGTCGACGTCGTCGTCAACGCCGCCGCCGCTGCCGTCGCCGTCGCAATCGCCTTCGCCGTCGCCTTCGCTATCGCGGCCGCCGTCGCCGTCGCCGTAGCTGTCGC